GGGTTCATCAGTATGAGCGTACAAGTGTTTTGTGTGTGTGTGTGTGTGTGTGTGTGTATGTGTGTATCATGGTGCCCATATAGACAGCCTGGTAGGTAATTTAAACAGCTGGTGTGTTCCTCTACCACCCTGCCAACAGGAATCTGCTCATACAGGTGTAAATACAGCTGCCGGATGCTTCTCTCTCTCTGTCACACATAAAAAGACAGAGAGGACTGACTGCACAGACAGATGGTGCCTGGGTACTACAGTGAAAGTATAGTGTGAATGTATATGATCTCACTGCCTCACTCTAGGGGCAAAACCTGCAGCCTCACCCAATGTGTGTGTGTGTGTGTGTGTGTGTGTTTAGGATATTGGTTCAAGCCGGTGCATGCAGTTCAAGCAGTAGCTGCCCACACAGATGTATGTCCTGTTACATTAATACTTACGCCTCCTGTAGCCTTAACGAATGGATGAAGGAGTACGGAGGCAGCCTACTAGGCCTAATAATATTTTACAGAGCTAAAACAGCTGTTTGATGTGCTTCATGACCAGTTATAGTATGTGAAATAATTGTAGAATTCATACTCACAGGTACAGTTTGCAGGTTATATTCTATGCACATATTAACAACAAATCCTATGAACCAACCCACACCAACCATGAGTACATCCTGTATTGCGTGTGTATCCAAAGTCTGATTTATCTTATTACGCTGTACCAGACTCTGTTGTCCAAAAACACATCAGTAAGCCATACTCTTGTACTGGGTGAAACATTATGCTTCAAATAGTTGCAACAAATGCACTATTTCTTCCTGCTAGAGTAATGTTTGAGAAAAACTACAGCACCAAGCTGTTAGGAAAACATTTAGTTTTTGTTGTTGTTGTTTTGTTTTTAATGAAACTTCATTTAACAATTTATCTGGCAAATCTTGCTGAAATACGGCAGTAAACTGGGTTTTTCTAAGGCCCTGTAGTTCATTGTTTTTTTGTTTTTTTTATGGTCATCTTGGAGGATTCTAACATTTCGTCTAATATTTAATACACACCAAGTGATATAAAAGTAGTGATAGATCTCCATCTGCTTTACAAAAAAAGGAAGGCTAGATATTCAGCATCATCAGCACCCAACAAAAGAAAAGCTATCAACTATAAAGCTAAGTAACAAACTTATAGAGAAATGCATGTGGCTTTGTCACTAGGACTATCAAACAGAACTACTTTGGGTGTTGTCCAAAATACTGTATATCTGAAACCTGTGCTAAAGCTTGGCATCAAGTGTCTCATCAGCTCATCAAATGAGTCCCTGAGTTCAGTCAAAACGCTGCTTAGTTCAGAATTTATTTTATTTATAAAATTTTAGACAAAAGTTGATTTTTTTTTATTTCTCAAATTAAGGTATTAAAATGTATAGCTATGTATACACATACTGTATATTAAAGAGACAGGCATGAAAGGTGAGAGACAGAAGGGGGAGACCAGCAACACAGGTCTATGGCCAGACTCAAAATGCAGACATTGTGCACACCAATGTGCATCTGTGCATGAGTGACTACCAAAACCACTTGGCTATACCCAGAAAAATGTGTTCTTTAGGTATCAGAACTTGTGTATCATATTGGCACTAATACCAAGAGGTTTACAACATTATCCTATTACATATTTCAAAGCACTAAATAAATTTCCTGACTGGTAAGGGACATTTTGGAAGTGCCACAGAAATAAGCAATTTAGGAGCAGCAGCCAAATAAATTAACAAATTAATTAATTAATTTGAAATAGGACTAAATACATGAATGGAAGTACTGATTACTGCTTGAAACCAAAGATATAGGCAAATAAACAGAAACTACACAGCAGAGACAGCTTAGTACTAATGACAAGCAATACAATATTGAAGTACTAAAGGATCAGCACTTAATACTGACAAAAAGACAAGTAAACGTAAATAAATGAACACAAATAAAAAGCAATTTGTGACTAATACAAGATGGAGACTATGACTATCATAGGAAATTATGAGAAACACCAAAATAAAAGAAACCTTTCTCTGACTGAGCAGTAATTAACCTGTAAACAACAGATGAAAATCAGCAAATCAAAGCTGTCACTGAAGGTGATCAAATTTTTTAAGGCCTTAAGTTAAAATCAGACCTATTTTGAGAAATCCCCATATTGTATGACATTACATATTACAACTGCAAAACCAAATGCAAGCCACCAGTACCAGGACATCAGCATAAATATACCAAAGCAGGACACCACAGTAGCTCATAAGCAATAACACATTTTACAAACCAAATTAACTCTGCGAGTCATCTTAATGATTTGGAAAATGGCCTGATGTTGTTTACACTGACCACAGGATCAGGTCTCTGTTTTCATCCTCAAGGCTTACTTATCAAATATCACTGGGAAATAAATCCCATGCTGTCTGTTTGAATTATTATAGCATTTCCCATTCAAACAGGGCATGAAAATAACATTTAAATGAAAATATTAAAATATGCCCATATTTGTGAGTCACCTGTACTGCAAAGAAAATGCACTTAGCAAAGGCCTGTAGTTGTGAAGTGTTTTAGCTGCTTTCCAAACAGCCTGAGAATGAGCTCGCATTTGTGTTGTGCTTCATTACCCTATGCAAAAAGGTAGCAGCCAGAGACAAAGGTCCATGAGCAACAGCTGGATATGTTAGTGGAAAAGCTTTGGCCTAAACACGACTACCGCTGATACGTGTTTTTATAATGTGAAGGATAAAGACAGTGAATCACAAACTGAAGATAAAAATCGAATAGAGTATGTCTCAAATTTTACTTGACCATGGTCAAAATATAAATTCAAGAAAGTGTGAGGCTGCTGTTAACCCTTTGTCTCACCCTCCTGTAGAGACAATATATTTGGATACTCTCTGATGCATGGTACCTGAATTCATTTCACAAAAGGGAGGTGAAAAAAACCAAAGTATCGGTATATATTTAAGTTTTATATTCAAATAGTTTTTCATAGAGCCAGCAGTATAAGCTAATCAACGCCAGTTGAGTAAAAGTGCAGTTGTTCTGAAGAATCCAAAAATGTATATTTTTAACACTTTTGGTGTGTATATTGTAATGTATATGTAATGAAGTCTCTTCATTACACTGTACTTTTAGACAATATAAATAAGGCCAAGTAATTATTAATGCATCTGTCAAAAACTCCTGCTTTGAAACATGGTACATTTAGGGTGGTTTCACATTAGGGGCCCGGGCCTGGACCCGAGTACACTTGATCGCAAAGTCTGGTTCAGTGTGAACACAAACAAGGAAATCGACTGCTATGTGACCTCATAACTATTCGACTCAACATTAACAAACATCAACGCCTCCTGTCTCTTCATAAACTGTCGTGTCCATGATTAGTTTTCTTCTTGACAGATTGCAAACCAACTACGCACATACTGCCACCTACTCTATCAAACTGTGTACATATGCAAGTGCACTGGGGTATGGAATAATGTTACAAATGTGAAAGCAGACCTGTGGGGTGGGGGGTTTGGGGGGTCAATTATGCTCAGGCACGGTACGAAACAACTGCACCTAATGTGAAAACCCCCATAGAGATAATGAATGACTGACAATATAAAATGTAGTAAATGTAGTAAACCTAATAAATATGAACTGAACATTTTATATCAGTGCAAGATACACCGATCAGGCATTACATTATGACCACCTGCCTAATACCATTTACATAGAATTCAATGTGGCAGTTGGTCAGCACTCATGTCATTCTGCAGCTCACTGTGCATCTTCTGTGAATCCATTTGCTTCCACAGTTCTACTGTCAGGAAGAGAACAGATGTGTCTACAATTCAGTGAAAGACTTATGTCAGTGAAAACTGTGGTCGTGAGGACAAGTTAGAGCATTAGACAGATTCAACAGCCTCACCACTACAGCCTCTGACTCTTTCGCCTCATAGAGACCAGTGTACAGTATTTCTCATTTTAACAAAGATTCAAATATAACAAAATTTCAAATCTTCTGAAAAGTACAAATGGAAGTTAAACGTTTAATCTACAGTAGATCAACCTCATCATCAGTGAGAGCCGTGGGCGTCCATGACCCTGTCTCCAGTTCACCATTTGTCCTTCCTTAGACACTGTTGGTAGGTACTAACCACTGCAGACCAACAACACCCACCAAGACCTGCAGTGTGGGAGATGCTCTGACCCAGTCATCTCCCCGTCACAGTTTGGCCCCTTGTCAAAATCACTCAGATCCTTACACTTGTCCATTTTTCTTGCTTCAAACACATCAACTTTGAGGACTGAATGCTCACTTGCTGCCTAATATACCCCATACGCTGACAGGTGTCACTGTAACAGACAGTCAGTGTTATTCACTTCACCTGCCAAGTGGTCATAATGCTATGGCTGATCGGTGTATATTTTTTTTATTATATTAGTTCATTATTAATAAATGACTATTTTTTCATGACAACTGAGCAAATTCCATCAACTTATGAAGACCTTATGATGACATGTGGCTGAATGTTCCAGGAGAAATCTAGTAACAGGACCTAGAGTCAATTGTATTTAGTGAAACAACTGTTTCTGAGGTCAAGAATGAACCTTCAAGTGCAACATGTCTTCATTAGTTTTAAGACCACCTATGAAACATCTGTACATGTGTATGAACCTGAATATGTTCCACTAATTAAACAACCATAATTGAGAAAGTATAAACTGTTGACAAATACATGAATAAACACTTAAAATACC